GTGACAAGAAACCAGACCGCAGGAAATCGAAGGGGAGAAAGGAGCAGGAGAAGAAGAAAACCCATCATCTAACCCCACCCCCGCATCCACAACTGCGACAGCTCTGCCCATGGGCTTTTCCCCCACATTTACTCCTCATCGTCTTCATCTTTCCAAAGTTCCCATGCCCATTCCCATTTCCATTCCCATTCCCATTCCCATTCCCATTCGACGTAGACTGCAACCGCTGCCACAAACGAGCCGCCTGTTTTTGCGCGGTAGCCATCCCCTGCAAACTCCTCACCCGCTGTGCATTCTGTGCAAGGCGCTTCGTAAAATTAAAATCATAAGAACGCCCATGGTTCTTCAAAAGCCTCTTCGCCTCCTTCTCAACCCCAACCCGCGCCTCTTTAGCAAACCGCACTGCGTCCCGATTAACAGTTGACAATTTCTCACGAAACGCCATCGAAGACTTCGTCACCCTGTCCCGCATGCGGAATTTGATCTCTTCAGAAACCTTCTGTGACTTCTTCAGTATCGAGTTTGCGGCTTCGACAGCACGCTGCAGCGAGTCCCGGCTTGCCAGTTCGGCTTCTACTCGTATGATGTCGCTCATTTCATGGAGGTCAGCAAACATGCGGCTATACACGTCTGAGAGGCCGGCCTGTGCGGCGTTGAGGTCCTTTCGAAGTTTGGAGGAGAGTTGTTGCGCGGCTCTTTTCCAGTTGGCGATTTTAAGCCATGGGGTTCCGAAATCGACCTCTGTGACCTGCTCGATGATAGGTTTTGCTTTTGTCGCTATATATATGTTAAGGAGTCCGTATGCATCCTCCCTGGGTAGTCGCAGTGCATATACTCCGTCGAAAAGACGTGTCTGCTCAAATGGAATATGCTGATCATCCCTGGTTACCGTTACATCAAACTTTAGATATTTCTGCCGTGATGTAGCGCGTGATGGTAGCTTTATGATGATGTGGCAGTCACCAATAACATGGATCTGGAAACTGCCAGGTTCGTTCCCTTGTCTGTCGGGCGGACTTGTAAGTTTCGAAATGTAAGCGTCGATGTCGACGGAATCTTTCTCTGTACAAGCCGGTAGGATAAGGTCGCGTATCGACTGTGGCATTAAAGATGTTTCTGCGGTGTTGGTTGTTGCTGTTTTAGGAGGCAGATAGGTTGCAGCCGAAGCTGGCCCAGAGAGTCGAGAGGAGGTAGACATGGAAAACAAGTGAGTGTATAGGTTAAGAATCGCTAGAGTAATAAAATGTAAGAAAAATGCTCCTATTACTACCACACCAGTGAAAATTATGAAAATTGCAAGTGTGCCCATTGCCGTGTCTAAATCGACTGGGGTGCCAAAGACAACAAACCGGTGAGAGCCATCCGATGAGCTCTTCATATCAAGCCATCTTTTCCAGCCTTGAAGTCGCTCCGAAAACTTTCCTACCTTTGGGGCTTCAACCGTTTTGGGGACGGCTCTCGGAGAGGTATGTCCCAAAAGAGATGCGAGATTCCTATTTAGTTGTCTGGGTGCAATACTCTCAAAAGTTTTCAGGTCAATTGGATATCTGTCGACCACTCTGGATTCGCCAGTCTCCTTGTCGCGGGTCTCCAGACAGACGTGTAAACTGCGGTAGTCCGGACGATCCATTAAATTAGCCTTGCTCCAGAGCAGGGTTTCAGAGATAATCATGCATGGTACGCTATGTCTCTCCATGAAGGTACGGCACAAGGAGCGGATTCGTGTTGGTACAAGATTTTCAGTCTGGGGTATAAAGAAGATGGCCAAATCTGGAAGAGTCCATGGGGTATCTGATTGGATTTCGTAGCCCGAGCCGGTCCATGTTGAATTGAGAAGCTCCTCTCGGTTCTTTAACCTTAGGCCAATGGTGACTGGCTTGTGGTCTTCCCTCTTCTCAGTCATCGAGACACACTCGTCTACGATAAGTTGGACATGGATGGGTAGGAGTTCAGCATAGTTGGGATTGGAACCAGTACCAAAGGATGCGGGGACGACATGGAAACGAGAGGAGTCTTCGGGTGCGGTACTGAAACCATGGTCAGAGCCTGCAACGAGGACATCTCCCAGCTTATCTAGGACAGTCTGCTTGAACTTCGAGTCGCCGACATATAGGGCACGGAATGGCTTAGTGAGATCAAGGCCATGCTTAGCCATGGTCTGTCGGACAGTCAAGGATACGTGGTCATCACCAAGGTGGTAGGGTGAAGCACGCAGGTAGTCCGGGATCTCAGCTTCACTGAATACTTGGACTGTATGCTTCAACTCGATAGTCTCTTCGGGCCAGTTATCCGGCTCAACAAACTCAATAGAGTCAGACACCAACTGATATGGTGGGTTGATTGTTGTTTCACTATCCTCTAGATTCTGCTCGTGGATATGGCGACGAAGCGATGGCGGTGGTGGTGGGTCCGAGCAGAGACTCTGCACGTCTGCACTGTCCACCTCGTCACTATCATCATCCCTCCCCTCGAGACTGGTGACATCGTCAGGAACACTGTGGCCCACCAGCGAGGCAGCATCTGTCTGGTCTGAGCGGGAATCGTCCTCAGAATACATATCAGAAGCGCTGAGGGTGGCCCAGCTCTCACTGAGAGAGCTCTCGGGTCGCTCAAACCTATGATTGTCTGACGTCATTGCTTCAGCGTCGGACTGTGAGGATGGAGGAGGTACAGACGGGAGCTTTGGGAACTGGAGAAGCGGTGGGTTAGTATTATTTTGGAGACGATGATGGACACTGCTGGAGGGAGCAGGCTCATGTGAGTCGGGCATCGTTTTGCATAGAGATGGGGTGCCAAGGGGTTGTAGGGAGAAGAAGAGAGATAGATATGTGGTGGGGGTGGGCAAGATAAACTAACTAGTTTACTAGTAAACTAACCAATTATGCTTTTGACTAACCAACTCGCTACTGTTATATACTTGGGCGCAGGCAGGCGTCAGACACAGCAGCGAGCTGACCAACCCTTTTAAACCATATCACCAATAACTATTGCGAATTAGCAATTTCAAAGATGTATCATTAAGTATTAGTTTCATCTCTTCATAAATAAGTCAACAAATTTGAATGGCAGGGTGAGGGGGGGGGGGAATTACCGTTAGAGAGGAAGAAAAATATTGAATGTGATCAATTTTTTTACAGTTGATCTCTGGGTTCACTAGAGTCCAAAGTGTCAAGTAATTCATAATCGGAGAGACATAGCCATTACCCATGTACAAATACAGAGAAAGTAGTCCTTAACAAAATGTTGGAAACTCAAGTCACTTGTTTATTGAACTTCCAATTGACCTACCCGTCATTAATTATACACACACTCTCAAACACAACGTGCGTATGGCCCATGGAAGTGAGGGGGGATTGGACAATTGAAGTAGAAAAGGCAAGAAGAGAAATAATCCATCACACATACATATATTGAAAACTATATATATAATACTCTTCAATACTCTTCAATTCTCTCCCATTAAGTCCTGCTTCAAACCCTCTCTGTATCTGTGTCTCTCATCTCCTTTCTCCGTTCTTTTATCAGGGTCTTTTTCCCTTGTCACAATCCCTTCTCTCCCTCTATCTAAGTGGTTATCAACAGGGTTACTGTACGGATATGAGACGTGTCTGGGGAAGGTTGAGATAGTAGTAATAGAACTTTAGGGGAGAGGAATGAGAGCTGATGAAGATTAATAAAAACAAATCAAAACCAAAAAAAAAAAAAAAAAAAATCCATCAATCAATCAATGACACCAAAACCAGAAGACTAATGAAGAATATTATAATAGAGGGGAATACTAAAACAAAAGGACGATGACGGCGAAGGAAAAGGCGAAACAACAACCAAAACTACAGCTAGAAAAGCTTCTAAGGAAGAAGAACAAACGGCAGTCCATATGTACAGTTGTCATAAGTAAAAAAAATAAAAGATGTAAAGTAAAAAAAGGGGGAGAGCGAGGAAGGAAAAAAAAGGCGTATCACGGAGAAGGTGCGTGAACAAAAAGTAAAAAGCAAATATAAAAAAGGGCGGGGGGGGGGGGGGGGGGGGGAGAACCCAGGGCCAAATCTTCCAAAGCTAAAACACATAAAAGGTGAAGTGAATGAAATAGATAATGTTTGGTGCCTGTGTGTGCTAGCATTTTTGCCTTTAACAAAGGAAGATGATGTCAACGTTGCATCCAGCGTAGCTTCCAGTCTAGCCCCATATATTTGGGACAGGAGTCATTCATTGTCGGCCGCGACCTTAACAGTACCAAGGGGTACGTGTGGGGAATTGGCACTGCCTGATGTTTTGTGCCGATTGACCCCTGTTTTGTGTCCCAAATTTGGCGCGGAAGACGTAGCTTTGAGACCGGCACAGGCTGTACATAGAGTGTCAAGTCCTGACCAGGATGCGTATACAAAGATCGAGCCCAATTGATGGTAAAGCTTTGGGTAGCTGGGGTTTGACATACGGGGTCGAGCAGGTGGTAAATAGTGCATGATATCACTCAATGGTGACCTCGGTTTCTTTTCTTTGTTCTGATTGGGTCACTGTGGACTGGGTAGAGGGAGAAGGAAGCACTCCTGGCGTCCAAAAAAAAAAAAAACGAATGAAGGTTGCAGATTGGCAAGCAGGCATAAAGTTGACATATGGCGATACGCATCCAACTTGAAAATGTTCCGGTAAGGCAGGCCAGTGACACACAAAAAGAGTAGTTGGTGGAAGATGCGACACTGTTGAGTTGTTGCAAAAAGGATTTTAAGACAAAAACATAAGACACCGTCAAGGAATCGCATGAAAAAAAGATGAACACAAGAGGAAGAAGAAAACAACGCCTTTTTCCCGTAAATAGTCGAAAAGCCCATGCAAGGGAATGATTTCTTAACACCGAATATTGTGACCAAGGCATGCTCGCATATTGGAGATGAAGGAACTGGTCCGTCTGTGTCTGGCCAGCAACGAGGAACGAGAGAAGTCGAACGAGGGTTCCCAACAATTATAATAAAAGGGGGGAGACCGTTTTCATATATATCGTTTCAGGGTGATGCCCAGCCTCCAGCAACTTCGACCCATTCCGCCAGACAACTTCCTTGTTTGCCTTCCACGTCCACAATATCCGTATCACATCTGCAGCGGCACCCAACTCCGTTTTCTTTCGGCGTATCCGGTGTATCCCAATATTCATCTTCCTCCTGGCGCTTCTTCTCATCTTCAGTGGTCATTTCAAGAAAAGGAATTCGATCCCGTTGACGGGCGGGGGCATTGGCTGGGCAATGCTGGATGGTCGTATGTCGATATCCGAAATCGCGGAAGTAATGGATATCTTTGGGCGCCAGAAGGATACCTGCCGCAAGGGAATGAATGGGTGCGTCACCCCACTGAAAATACGGGTGTCAGTCTACAGTTGGCAGCTTGTAATCAATATAAGTGAGGGGTTAAGTGTGCTAAGCGTACTCGTTCCATCCAGAAACCGCCACTTCTGTCCATCATGGTAAAGAAGTCCTCATACTCCTTGCTTCGGAACCAGTCGAGTCGAGCGATTTCAAAGTTGCTCCAGAAATGGCACATGTTGTATTTCTCTCCCTCCATAGCCTCTGGGTCGATGTCTTTAATGCCTTTGTCGCCCGGTTGAGTTTGCAATATCTCATCTGGCAATGGCGCTTCGTTAGCGGTGTCTTTGACAGTCTCTTTCGGTTCTGGGGGATCCTCTAGGAACATCTCCCAGAGGCCTTGCGAGGTGATATTGTTGGTTCTCTTGTAGGCTGATGCATAGCGGAAGATGTTTGGAACAGTCTCTCTGAGCTCCTTGACGGCAATTGTAAATCCGTAGGTTTTATTGTGCTCGATCATTTTTAGGAACGGATCACTGATATGTAGGTTAATAACAGTTATGGATTAAGGGGGGAGTATTGAGGAGTAGTCCGTACTAGGTGATGTCGCAGAAATATTTGATATCTGGTTCCAGACGCCAGTACCACTCATACTTCATGAGCAATTCGTGCTTGTAAAAGAACCTGACAGTCGCATTAGGACCCAGAAACTTCAATAAAGGGCGGTGAAGTAATATTTGATGCTCACCCGGAGTAAAATCGACACATATGGTGGTAACTCTCCATACCACCATACATGATAGCAGCATCTCCTTGCTTCCTAATTCCTTCCCTAGCCACTTCGGGGTCGACCCAATCGGGAAATCCCCACATAGAAGGATCGATTTTACCAAACTCTGAGGGGGCACTGGTATAGTTGGAGACAGTGTCCTTGAAGGTCTGGTCGAAATCTCCGTCGTTAAGAAAGACGTACGGATAGTTGTAGAATCGGTTGAAATGCCGTTCGATAGATTTGATGGATTGAATAACACCTTCCAGTTCCCTGTTTCTTGCTAAGACGACGAAAGCTGCATTTGCTCTTGGAGTGCTGGTGTCCATTTCAAGACAACCGGTAGCGAACACCTTGTCATGTTTTTCGCTAATTTTTCTGTAGAGAGGTGATGGCGATTAGCATCTGCGACAGAAATCCTACGAATGTGTTGGCCTTAAAAAATAAAGGATATAAAATAGTAAGACAAACCTGATAGATGGAGGTGTCCCGGCCGGCACCAAAATACGACCCGGAGAAGAAGGGTGAGTAACAATGAGAAGAACAATGAGTATTATTACAATACAAGGGAATAGCAAAACGAATCCCAGTGGAATTGAAATGGTGGAGTTTCTTCGCAGTCGTATTCGTCGTTTGAAAAAAGCGAATCTTGGTATTAATATGGCGCTCTTTTCGTTCGACACATGGTCAAAGGGGGGCCTCCGGCAAGTATGGCACTCGCTTTGTGAGACGTTGTACAAACTCCATGGGCGCGGATTGGAGATTGAGAAAATTCGGGGGTAGGATGGAGAGGAGGATTAAGGAGGTCGGATGGTTTTATTTGACCTCCTGGACGGCCCCAAGAAGCCAGCCTCAGAAGCGAAGAAAACACACCCACCACCACGATTAATTCACAGTATGGGGATTCGTAGGCCCTGAATTTTTCAACAAGCTGCAGCCAAAGGGAGGGAAGGTTGAAAAGCGAGGTAACTTGGATGGAAACGAGCGGATGGGAAAAGAAAAAGTCCCCTATGTAAGCAGATTGCTGATTCCGTTGAACGCGGCGTGTGTGGTCAGGCGTGCACGGGAATATCACTCAATGGACAACCATTTAACACGATACAGCTTAAAATGAGCTTACTGGTGATCATGAGAGAGTGGGAGGTTTGGAGGTTTGTCAGCAGAGAGGAGGACTCTATGGTGTCGGGGGGGGGGGGGGGGTTGCAAAAAAAAAAAAAAAAATTGGGTTGAGTTGGTTTGAGGCTCGAAAACCGAAGTTTTTATGGGGGGAAAGGATATACCCCCCAGACTGCCCCAACTAAAAAAAGAGGCGTGGCTTCGAAGCATTTGAACCCACCCAATATGGCCACCCTGTGAGTGTTTAGTATTTTTTGGTACAGAAAATTTTAGACAGGGTCCACCGGGGGATTTTTTCCCCACAAACAGCCTAAGCTTCCCAGGGATCCCCTGGAAAGTTCTTGGCTGTCAGGTCAGTCTCTGTCTA